ATGCATATTTATTACACCAATATGAAAGGCAGGGTATCATTCAGTTTATCAAGAAAGCGGTTTTCACGCGTTTAAAATATAAATACAACTAGGTAAATAATTTTTTGTGTATCTCATGATAAACATGTGCAACTAACATTGCTTATCCATAAAGAAATCAAACTGTATTTCAAAAATATAACTTCAACAAAACTACAACATAAACCACGCATATTAACACCTCTAGTAATGAGGTCAACACAAACATATATATGCATAAAATCTGAGTATCATCTACCATATATTCAATTGTGAAAGCAGAATAACATATTTTTTATTAGTAGCCAATTAAGTAGCACAATTAAATTCAAGCGGTTATAGTAACAAGGAGGAGAGCAATATTTATTCTGTTTAATACACAGAAATGTGGCACAAGGCCGAAGGGAGGGTTGGGGAAAGGACAGTCTTCTTCTGTTTTATCTATAACTTAGCTAGCCACAAGCACTGGCCCAATCGTACAAACAATATTCCTTACACCGAAACAACACATTCATACGTAACTTTCTTACTTCATCCACCATAATACCTCATTGTCTCTATGAAAATACTAACTAGTTCCAATATTTATAATTCATTGTCTGTGGGGGGGATAAAACAACAAGGAGGAGAGCTCATTAGAACAAATGCCATGAAAATATTTACAGAAAAACAGAGAGATGGTAAATCACGGCGGTGAGAAAGTGACTGAAGCCGAGATGCCAGGTCAGGATGGGTAAATTTACAGACACTTCTCGGGATTTTCTCGAGAGACACGAGATATATAGTTTGAGCACCAGGCTATATATGGCAGGAATATTCAATATATGAACGAATGGTAGATTTATAAATGTGCAAGATCGATTTTGATACGAAAAATTCTCTGGCACGATTGAGTGTACCAACATCATATGGAAAGACCTAGCAATTGATTCTATATACAAATATAAATATATAATATATTTTGGTCATTTCAAATGGATTGAAGTTTTGGCGTAGCGAAATTATAGACACAGACAATATTTCGTTCATCGTCTTGTCCTCCAAAATGTGAAAATTTAATGATTTCTTATCTTGATTTGTAGAGCTCATCTGCTTATTAATGAAATTCCCAAATATTGAATTTGTTTTCCATTTGGAATACCAATTAAAAACTAAACAGAAAGGGCAAGGTATCATTGGGTTTATCAAGAAGTCAGTTTTCACGTGTTTCAAGCATAAATACAACTGGGCAAGTATTTTTGTGTATCTCTTGATAAACATGTGCAAGTAACATCGGTTGACTTTTGTGAAGGCATTTCTTCATAAATTGTACTGTTTTGTAAGCTTAAAATCGATGAATGCCTGACCTTTCAAGAGATTTCGTGTAACAAGTCGATGGGCGACTCAATGAAAATTTATCATAAGTGATTGTAAACAGATTAACAGAGAGACAGGAAGTCTGCCGCACGTGAAAGAAGAAGAAGAAAAGAAGATGCGGTCGAAAAAGGTGTGGGGAAAATAATGTATGGAAAGGACAGAGAAAAAAAAAAGAAGACAACTAATATAGAGATGAGAGGGGAAAGAAAGAAAGAAAATAAATGAAAGAAAGAAGGAGAAAAAGAAAGGAGGAAGAAAAGAAAGGAGAAAAAAAATGAATGTAGGCGCAAGAAAGAAAAAGAAAGAAAGAAAATAAGAATTTTAAATGCAAGACCAAGAAAGAAAGAAAGAAGCAAAAAAAAAAGATGAAAAAAGGGAAAAAAGGGCAAAAGAAAAGAGAAAAAGAAAGAAAGAAATGAAGACGCCAGAAAGCAAAGAAAGTAAGAAAATAGATGAAAGTAAATGAAGAAAAAAGAAGGAAAAACGAGGGAAAGAGAGAAAGAAAGAACTTCTAGACGGAAACTGAGAAGAAAGAAAGAAAGAAAGAAAGAAAGAGAGAAGAAAGTAAGTAAAGAACAAAGAAGAAAGAAAGAAAGAAAGAAGAAAAAACGAAGAAAAAGAGAAAGAAAGAACAGTAGAGCCAAACAAGCTGGGAAGAAAGAAAGGAAGAAAGAAAGGAAGTTTGCAACGTAAGTTTGCCCATCAGTTTTAATAATTTTACATGCAAGCCAGTGATCAAGAAAGAAAGAATGAAACTTAGATGAATTTAAGCGAATTAGAAAGAAAGAAAAAGAAAGAGATAGAAAGAAATATAAATATAAGCAATCTAAGAAGAAAGAAAGAAAGAAAGAAAGAAAGAAGGAAGGAAAGAATCTAAAAAAGAGAGAGAACGGAAGAAATATTTAAGTAAGAGAAGAATAAAGAAAGAAAGAATGAAAGGAGAAAGGAAGTTGTCAGAAAGAAAGAAAGAAAGAAAGAGAGGGAAAAGATAGGCGTAAGGAAGAGAAGAAGAAGAAAGAAAAAGAAAGAAAGAGAAAGACGTAAGTAAGCAAACAAGAAAGAATGAAAGAAAAAAAGAATTTAGCTAAAGATCAAGAAAGAAAATGAAAGAAAATAGATGAAAGTAATTGAACAAGGAATAAGGTAAAAAAGAAAGAAAAAGAGAAAGTAAGAAATGTAGACACAAGCAAAATAAGAAGAAAGAAAAGAAAGAAAGAAACAAGGAAAAAATTTAAGACAAAAGAGAGAAAGGAAGACATATTAAAGTAACAGAAGAATAAAGAAAGAAAGAATGAAAGGAGAAAGGAAGTCGTCAGAAAGAAAGAAAGAAAGAGAGGGAAAAGATAGGCGTAAGGAAGAGAAGAAGAAGAAGAAAGAAAAAGAAAGAAAGAGAAAGACGTAAGCGGACAAACAAGAAAGAATGAAAGAAAAAAGAATTCAGCTAAAAGAAAGAAAAAAGAAAGAAAAAAGATGAAAGTAATTGAACAAGGAATAAGGTAAAAAAGAAAGAAAAAGAGAAAGTAAGAAATGTAGACACAAGAAGAAAGAAAAGAAAGAAAAACATGCGAGTCCTTGATCAAGAGAAAAAATATAGAGGCAAGCGAGAAAAAAAAAAAAAAAAAAACGAAAGACTACTCCGAAAATAAATAAAAAAATGTCTTTAATGGTGAAAAAAGCAACAAGGAAAAATGAAGTATAATTGAAAGTCTACTCAAATCATTCAAGGAAAAATGGAAGAAAAAGATGGAAGAGATTATAAAAGGAACTGACTCGAAAGAGAAAGAGAAAACGTCAATATGTTTCATCGTTGTCCGGAATAAAAGATTTATGTTCATAACGAAAGCTACATGCGTTTATTTGATGTAAGTCAAAGCATAAAGATAGAACATTGACATCACCAGTAACTCAATGTCTGCTCACATGACTCAACTATTCCAGAGGTCAAGGTCCTGGGTAGCTCAGTTTAAGGGTCGAAGATCGAGTTGTCTTTATTTGATTATGTTGTCATACCACATTTTTCATTACTATAGAACATTGACATCACCAGTAACTCAAGGTCTGCTCACATGACTCAACTATTCCAGAGGTCAAGGTCCTGGGTAGCTCAGTTTAAGGGTCGAAGATCGAGTTGTCTTTATTTGATTATGTTGTCATACCACATTTTTCATCACTATAGAACATTGACATCACCGGTAACTCAAGGTGTGCTCACATGACTCAACTATTCCAGAGGTCAAGGTCCTGGGTAGCTCAGTTTAAAGGTCGAAGATCGAGTTGTCTTTATTTGATTATGTTATACCACATTTTTTGCTGACCTCAACCTGCAATAATCCCTCAATCCTTTTTTGCTTAGATTGATGTGAACACATAAGTTAAGGATTGGATTCTATATTAAGGGGGCGATTGGTGTCAGGCCAGTTGTGTCCAGGAGGGTGTGTGTCCTTGCATGATCTGTTAGGTAATTGATGGTTATGAATTGTATGATGTGATTCTGGATTGTTTCAACTTTCATAAGAAGTGTTATTATCCAGTTTATGCAATCCAAACCTTAAAACAGTACAAATAGAATATATGTTATGTACATTTTAGTATTGGGTATAACGGTAAACTACATCCGCGTCCTGGGTAAGACGATAAACTACGTCCAGCATCAAGGCCTCTGATCAGGAGGTTTTGAGGAGCGTTGAACCACGTCCTAATTGCTGGTGTTCCCAGGTCCACCCTAACCCGGGGTGGTAGCACCTGTTAGGGTCCCGGCTATGGGCAAATAATTAACATCCAAACTTGTGTAAAAATTGGTTTTAATACCAGAAATACTTTGTAATAAAAAAGAATTATTACCAGCAATAATTTTTGAAGGAAAAATTATTATCAGCAATACTTTTAAAAACGTACTAGCAATACAAACAGCTATACATTCTTTGGAAAAAATATGACCAGCTATAGATTTCCTCAAGGAAAATATTCCCAGAAATAGATTTTTGAAGAAAAATATTACCAGCAATAAAAATGTTGTCGGCATTAAATAACCCATTGAGGTTCATATGCCGTAAAACAAACCCAACCAAACCAAACTAAACTAATCATTTGAAGATAAACGTTTGTGAGCAAAATAGACAAATCCACTTACTTGTTAGATTGGTTTTCCAGAGAGTGTTAATCTGAAAGGGGAATTTTCTTTATTACTGTTTTTGAATTTTGTTTTAGATATATTTATCATTAGAGCTACTGCCTTTGCATTCTTGGCAATTGTATCGATAAATTTCTGTATTTTTTTTCACATTAACTATATGAAGCAAAATTTGATTATTGTGGTGATTAAATGTATTTGTTTTTTATTTGTTGTTGTGTTTTTGTCTTGTTTTTTTTTTTTTACTTTACGTTTTGCCTTCAGGCGTGACTTTTCGTGGATGGTCATTGGTACTCACTCCATACCAAAAGAGGACGAAAACAGGGAAATAAAAGCCATATTTAAACAAAAGCCAGAAAAAAATTCAATGTATGAACGAATGGTAAATTTATAAATGTGCAGAATCGATTTTGGGACGAAAAATTCTCTGTCACGTTTCAGTGAACCAAAATTCAAGCCAAAAGACCTAGCAATTGCAATTGATTCTATATCATCGCTAATAATAATAATAATAATAATAATAGATAGATAGATAGATAGATAGATAGATAGATAGATATGACCTGTAACACCTGTATGGGACTACACAATACACACGGACAGAACAATCAAAGCTAACCGCCCAAACATTGTTACTAGAGACCGTAAACAAACAAAAAATGCTTCCTTATTGATATGGCAGTCACTGCAGACTACAATGAATCTTTGAAGATCTTCAAAAATCTATTATAATACAAGGGCCGTAAAATCGAAATCTCAAAAATGTGGCACATGGGAGTATGAACAATCCCTGTTGTAGAGGAAGACCTCAGATTGGTTGGAAAAGATTCCAATAAACTCATTGGAGGGATTCCTGGAATCCTATGCCTTAAAGATATACAAAAAAAAACTGTTCTCACGAGTACACCTTACGAAGGGCTTTATCTATGTAAAATATGTGTGTGTGTGTTTTTCTTAATTGATCAGTATAAAATGATGTCATTTTTGACTTTATGTCTTTGGACGGGACCAGGAAAGAAATCTGCACACACCAGAAATCAAAGGAAATAAAATAATAATAATAATAATAATAATAATAATAATAATAAATCCTTGCTGCACAGGACCAACGCTTGCTAACTAGGAATTATCAAGCACATATACTAAAATATTGTGTCAGCCCAAAATGCAGATTCTGTGATAAATATCCAGAAACGAATGATCATCTTGTATCAGGTTGCACGATATTGGCACCCACTGAATATAAAACCCACCATGACAGAGTGGGCCAATATCTGCACTGAAAAATCTGCAACTTCTACGGGAAGGAAACTGAAAGAAACTCGTATGAACACCACCCAGACCCGGTTACAGAGATAGGACCTGTTACAATTCTATGGGATAACACAATACACACTGACAAAACAATCAAAGCCAACCGCCTAGACATTGTTATTAAAGACCACAAACAAAAAAAGTACCTCCTTATTGACATAGCAGTCCCTGCTGACTGCAATGTATCTTTGAAGACATTCAAAAAGCTGTCAAAATACAAGGACCTTGAAATAGAAATCTCAAAATGTGGCACATGGGAATATCAACAATCCTTGTTGTAGTTGGAGCCCTAGGACTGGTTGGAAAAGATTGCAGTAGATTAATTGAAGGGATTCCTGGAAATCCATGCCTCAAAGAAATACAAAAAATTGTTCTGACAAGTACAGCCCACACTTTACGAAGGGCTTTATCTATGTAATTTTTATTTTTTTTTGTCAGTGGAAAGTGTCATGATGCCATTTATAACCTTAGGTCTCTGGGCGGGACCCGAAAAGAAATCTGTACACACTAGAAATCAAAGGAAATAATAATAATAATAATAATAAGGGAAGGTTTTATTCTTGCTGCACAGGACCAATGCTTGCCCAAGTAGAAATTATCGAGCACAAATACTGAATAATTGTGTTGACCCAAAATGCAGATTTTGTGATAAATATCCGGAAACAATTGACCACATTGTATCAGGTTGCGTGGTGTTAGTACCCACTGAATATAAAGTTCAGCATAATACACTGGGTCAATATGCGACATTTACTGGAGGAAAGTGCATGAAACTGGTATGAACATCAACCAGATCCGGCTACAGGACCTGGTACAATTTCATGGCACTTTACAATGCACACAGACAGAACAATCGCATTGTGATTAGAGACCGCAAAGACAAAAAGTGTCTTTATTGATATGGTAGACCATTTAGATTATAATGTATCTTTGAAGACTTTCAAAAACTATCAAAATACAAGGCCCATGAAATCGAAATCTCAAAAATGTAGCCCATGAGGACATCAATAATTTCAGTGGTAGATGGAGCACTCGGATTGATGGGAAGAGGGTCCGATAGACTCATTGAAGGGATTCCTGGTAGCCCATGCCTTAAAGAAATGCACACTATTTTACTTACAAGTACAGAGAATATATTTCGAAGAGCTTTAACTATATAAAATGTATGTGATCTTTTTTTACAGAAATGATCAGTGAAAAATGTCATGGGGCCATTTCTGGCGTTAGGACAGAGATCGGAACCCGGAAGGAAATGTATATAGAAAAGAATTTTTTTTTTTAAGCGTTTCACCCCAAGCAAGGCGGAAAGCCACTAGGACGCAAGGGGTCACAGAAGATTTGGAGCAAGATCAGATAGGAGTGATAGAGGAAAGGATGAGGAGAAGGATAGTGGATAGATCAAGGCAACTGGAGATGTCGATTGACATTACATTTGAATAGTTGGAGATTATAGCTCTCATGGAAACTGGAATAGGGAAGGGAGTTCCACAGGCGAGAGGTGCGAGACATGAAGCTACTGGAGTAGAAGTGACGGCTACATTTAATAGATTCGACAATGAAAGGGTGGGGGCGGGATGCCAGCTTCGTAGGGTGCTTGAATTCATGAAGTCTGGGGACCAGTGAAAGCAGCTCCACGGAGCAATTACCATGAAAGTATTTGTAAAAAAGACAGAGAGAGGCGACGGCGCTTCTGTGAGAGAGCGACTGTAGACGAGATGCCAGAACAGGGCCAATTATATTGCACATCCGCCTCTGGATCTTATCAAGAACCCCGAGGCAAACAGAAGGGGCCCCAGAACATATATGGCAGCAATACTCCATGCAAGGGCGAATTGTTGATTTGTAGATCTGAAGGATCGATTCCGGGGAGAAAAACTTCCTGGCGCGGCACAGGGAGCCAAATTTCCTTGCGGTGGAGGAAGCAATTGACTCAATGTATTTGTTTCATCTCAGGTCATCTGTCAACGTGTGACCGAGCAGCCGCAGAGAGCTGCTCTCGGGAAGTTGAGCGTCAGACATTCTAATGGAGGGCAGGGAAGGATCTCTATGGTGATTAATAGAGAGCAGTTTTGTTTTTGAGGCATTAAAGTTGACCAGGCAATTTCTGCCCCAGTTCACAACTGTTTGGAGGTCCTTTTTGAGACGCACGTCCAGGTTAGTTTTGTCAGCGACACTAGATTTGTTTTTGAGGCAGGAGCAAATTGTGGTGTCATCCGCGTAGATACCAACTTGGAAATTTATGGCGTCAGGTAGGTCATTTATGTAGATAAGGAAAAGAGTGGGGCCTAGGATGGAGCCTTGAGGAACACCTGCGTTCGTGGGTTAGGAACTGGAGGAGAATCCGTTGAGAACGACCTTCAATTCACGGTTTGACAGGAATGATTCTATTAGGTTAAACAATCGACCCGTAATACCATAACCCCGGAGCTTGCGAAGAAGGCCGGCATGCCAAACCCTATCAAACGCGTTGGAGATATCTAGGGCCACGGCACGATCTTCCCCGTAATTTTGAAGGGCTTGGTAGACAGTTTCAGTGATGGCCGTAAGCACATCAGCTGTAGATCGGGCAGAGCGGAAGCCATATTGCTTGTGTGAGAGCAGATCATGGGATGTAAGGTGGTTAACCAATTCGGCATTTATTAGGGCTTCGAAGACTTTGCCGAAGAGTGGTAGGAGACTGATAGGACGGTAATTAGAAGGGTCAGAGGGGTCGCCAGAGTTCTTGAAGGCAGGAACAATCGAAGAGGACTTTCAGCAGTCAGGAAAACAAGATTCCTTGAGGCAGTAGTTATATAGTTGAGAGAGGGCGAGCGCCAGTTCAGGCGCGCATTTCTCCAGGACAATGGCTGGTATCCTATCCCCACCACTAGCCTTGTTGGGGTCTAAATCTGAAATAATGCCAAATACCAAAGACGGGGTTATGTGTAATCCACTCAATAGGGCCTCAGTTCTAAGAGGGAAGTCGGGTATGGGTACACCGGAAGAGTCGACAAAGAAAAAATAATGAAGTCGAAGAAAGAGAATAACGAAGAGGCAGAAAGGGAGGAGGAGGAGGAGGCGTAGGAGGAGAGTGGTCCCGTCTGGTTATAATAAGAGAGAGCAAGAGTGAGAGAGAGAGGGGAGGAAAGAAATAGAGTGGGGGCAGAATGTCTTAGACCAGACGACAAAAGAAAAGGAAAAACAAATGAATGTACGGCTAATGATGAAAAACTTGGGCAAAGATGAATGTGTAAAAAAAAGAAAGAATGAATCAGCGATCAAGAAAGTTAAAAAGAAAGAAGGAAAAACAGATGAAAGAAAGCTAACAAGAAAAAAAGAAAGAAAGAAAGAAATGTATGTACGGTAATAAAAAAGAAAGAAAAAGAAAGTGACAAGGTAGGGATATGTAGACGCAAGCAGGCTAAGAAGAACTATAAAGAGATAAAATGAATTTTACATGCAAACCAGAATGTAAAAGTTATATAATAATAATAATAATAATAGCAAAAAGGTAGGAGGAGGAAGGTAATCTGAACCGTTCATAATAAGATAGATACATAGAAGTAAAGAAAGAAACAAAGTAAGAAAGAGAATGAGATAGATAGATAGATAGATAGATAGATAGATAGATAGATAGATAGATAGATAATGTGACAGACCGAGATAGATGAATAAATAAATATGAAGAGACTTAAGTAGATAGATAGATAGATAGATATAAAGAAAGAAGTAAAGAAAGAAAGAAAGAAAGAGAATGAGATAGATAGATAGATAGATAGATAGATAGATAGATAGATAGATATGAACAGACCGAGATAGATAGATAGATAGATAGATAGATAGATAATGTGCCAGAGCGAGATAGATGAATAAATAAATATGAAGAGACTTAAGTAGATAGATAGATAGATAGATAGATAGATAGATAGATAGATAAAAAGAAAGAAGTAAAGAAAGACAGAAAGAAATAAAGAAAGAGAATGAGATAGATAGATAGATAGAGAGAGAGAGAGAGAGATAGAGAGAGAGAGAGAGAGATGAACAGACCGAGATAGATAGATAGATAGATAGATAGATAGATAGATAGATAGATAATGTGACAGACCGAGATAGATGAATAAATAAATATAAAGAGACTTAAGTAGATAGATAGATAGATAGATAGATATAAAGAAAGAAGTAAAGAAAGAAAGAAAGAAAGAAAGAAAGAAAGAAAGGGAATGAGATAGATAGATACATAGATAGATAGATAATAAATTTTTAGCGAAGACGCAGAAAGAAACGAGAAAAGTAATGAAACTGGGAAATTATGAGAAACTTGGAGAAAGATGAAGGTATATAAAAGAAAGAAAAAAGAGAGTAACAAAATGAAGCTAAATAAAGATCAATATAGTGAGATTGATACGATAAAAAATAATAGATCAGTACAATAGATGAGACAAGAATAATGATGTGAACGGAGGTTGACACACAGATATGCAGAGACACACAGATATATAGAGACACACAGATATATGACACACAGGCATAGAGAGAGAGAGAGAGAGAGAGAGAGAGAGAGAGAGAGACATATAGTCTGACAAACGTTTAATGAGCCAAATGAGATCAATCGTTCGATGAATAGTTATTGAAAGATCGATAGAAATGAATGTATACCAGAGTGAGGAAAAAGAGAAATAGTAATTCTACAAAGGATAGGAAGTTGTGGAGATCCATGATAACTTACGTCACTTTCACTTTCACTTTCGTGGTCAGGTCGCTTTCACTTTCACTTTAACTTTTCTCTTCTAGCATTGCAGGTTCAGTTTTGGTGAATAAAATAGCTTTAATATTCTTTGAATTACTGCTTAAGGTAGGAAGTTGCCGAGAGCCATGATTCGCACATTTAAAGGGACAGGGCACATAAAAAAAGAAAACATGTAGAAACTAATATACATACATGTATGTATATATATATATATATATATATATATATATATATATATATATATATATATATATATATATATACGAGCATGAATGTGAACATAGGCAGAAGAGACTGAGATAGGTAGCCAGTTGGAAAAAAGAGACCTGGGAAAAAGTTAAGAGCGATATGAGAAAGAAATAAGAACATATAATGAGCTAGAGACGCAGGGTGTAATGAGAGAAGTTAATAAGTTTCATATTTATGCAAAATCAATATGTTTGACCATTTATGGCGCCGGTACTGACTGGGGCATTTAAAGTTGACGTTTATCATAAAGGTTATCAAATTCCCGTAAAATACAGAAGGAAGAATTATTGATTTGCATCAGTTTTGATCTAAAAGAATCATTAGCCCACTAAGAGATAGTTGGTTAAAAGTTATTCCGTTCTGCTAAGCATGATTTTCAGCAAAGAAACTATTCATTAATTTTTTACCTGAAAGAAAACCTATTTCAATACACTGTGCAGCTTTTCGCAATTACTTTAAAAATAATTGTTTCAGTCGAAGAAAAATACAACCAAAAACTGCATGATCAAGCACTGCATGCATAATATACTGTGTAGTTGTGGCCGGTAACAGTAAAATGCAGAATACAGGGTGTCCATAAAGTTCGTGTACACTTTAACAAATTTATAACTTTATTTTATTTGCGATAGAAATAATTTGTAAAAAGGATTAAAAAGAAGTAAATCTATATTTTTTAAGGTTTTATTGAAATTTTTATTTAAGTTTCCACATGTCCTCCATCATTAGCAATACAAAGGGTAATACGATTTTGCAGTTCACGGAAAACATTTGCAGTAATGCCTGAAATCACAATAGTTATTTTAGCTAAACTTAAAACTAGGTACATTAAACTTTATAACATTTTTTACAGATTATTTCTATCGCAAATACAAATAAAGTTATATTTTTTTTTAAAGTGCAAACGTACTTTATGGACACCCTGTATAGAATTTGAAGAATATAGTTAATTAGTAATTTTGATCAGAGTGATAGTTCGTAAAAATACTATTTCACGTATTGCAGTTCATTCATAATGTTGTGGCGTCCACTCTCTAAAGACTCTATGTTGGACTTTTTCGCCTACTATAAAGATTAGTAGGAGAGAAGGCCTTGTGGGAACAGTCGAATGGATTGAACACTGGGTCAACCGGCACACACTCACTAGTCGTGTAATACTCTTCTGTTGTACTTACTGCTAATATATGTTATCTCTGCAACACTTGTTTTGTTATTTCTTTAACCATTTACACATAAATAGAAAATCGACATTGTAGAGTTCAACATTAAAAACCATAAGAATTGAAAGAGTATGTAATAAAAGATGCCTTTCAGTAATCAAATCGAAACAAAAGAAGCATAGGTGCTTTACCATTATGGTAATAGGGAGGAAAGCCGTTTTCATATAAGGAAACAATCGGCATACATTGACCGAGCATTATTTTCGGTTGAAATTGTGGATTCCGAGACGAATTCGGTCTCCAATGAAGAACAAACGCAATAATTAAATATAAGAAATAAAATATATTTACGCAATCATACAAAGGATAATACTGTTAGTAAATCCAGGAACGCGGTTAGTAGCAAATACAAATAGATATATACAGTCTCGAAGTAGGACTTCCTTAGAGTCTACGTGCGTGTAACTGACTTCTACACGAGGTTACCTCACTATCTCCGTTCGTATATTCTCTCTCTCTCTCTCTCTCTGTATATCCTCTCTCACTGACTGTCTAACTCTAGATATTTAACGGCAGCACTCCAAGTAACACTGGTAGAGTCCACTTATATGAAAAGGGGAGGACCCCATAACAGAAATTTTAAAAATATTTCTATTAAAACAGTTTTGAGAAAATAAGTTTTCTAAAATCCGTTAATTGCTATTACTATTTCTAGAACTGTGGGCGGACAAAGGGATCTCCCTTCTTACCCTTTTGTTTAAAGTAGCGTCGAATGTCAACATCGTCGAGATATAGGGGAAATCCATTTTACTGTTGAAATATTTGAAATGGTGTTAATTATGTATGATTCTGTAGCGCCAGTCTACGACATCCGAATAAGGATAGTCCTCATCAAGACATTTTTAATCACTGGTCTAAGAAAATGGCTGTATACAGCTGATTATATAGATCTTTCTGATATTCATATATTTTTTAATCGGTGCCACCACAAGTAAGACAGTACAGCCACTAGCAAGCAAGGGGCTATAGGATGGGGTGTAATTAGGGACAGAAACATTAGTAATGTGGAGAAGGAAAAGAGCAATCAGAAGGACAGTAGATAACGATTGACATTGCATTTAAATCTTTGCAGATTAAAGTTTTCTGGAAAGCACTGAGCCGTAAGGGAGTTCCACAAGCAAGAAGTGCGGGATAAGAAACTGTTAGCACAGAAGTTACGGTTTCATCTAGCTACTTTAGCTGTAAATTGATGAGATCTCGTTGCCATTCTAATATTGTGCTTAAATTGAAAGTATAAATCTGACAAGGCTATTTCAGAACTCAACCTAAGTTCTTAGGTTCATGTTTTGGTTTTCTACCAACTTACAGTATTGTATAAAACTATCCATAAGACAGCTTGTTCTCTGTTTAATTCTTATCTCTTATGCTAAATTGTTCTAAGCGTAGTTTAGATGTGGCACAAGGTCGAAAGTATGAGGTACCCAGTGAGGATCGAACTCGCTACTCGGTCGTAATTGATCTAGCGAGACAAGCTTGTTAACCATTACACCACGTCGAAGTGCCTAAAAGATTTTCTAAGCGTAGCTTAGATGTGGCACAAGGTCGAAAGTATGAGGTACCCAGTGAGGATCGAACTCGCTACTCGGTCGTAATTGATCTAGCGAGACAAGCTTGTTAGCCATTACACCACGTCGAATTGCTCAAATGATTTTCTAAGTGTAGTTTAGATGTGGCACAAGGTCGAAAGAATAGGGCACCCAGTGTGGATCGAACTCGGTACTCGGTCGTAATTGATCTAGCGAGACAAGCTTGTTGACCATTACACCACCTCGAAGTGCCTAAATGTTTTTCTAAGCGTAGCTTAGATGTGGCACAAGGCCGAAAGTATGAGGCACCCAGTGAGGATCGAACTCGCTACTCAGTCGTAATTGATCTAGCGAGACAAGCTTTCTAACCATTACACCACGTTGGAGATTTTCTAAGCGTATCATGGATTCAGGGAACGTGTCATAAATGATTTCATTTCAATTCCAGACCATAGTTTCTGTTTTGGAAGAGTTTATCTTAAGTCTTTGGAACTTTTGGAAGAGTGTGTGTTGATTTTCTGTTCTAGATCATTCTTATTTCACTTATGAATGCCAAGATCATCAGCGTTACTCCATCATCATCATCAGTACATATATGAAGATAGAACGAAAGAAAAAAGATAAAGTAAGATGAAGAGAGACTGAGAGAAAGAAAAATAAAAGAGAAGAGAGAAAGATAGAAAGAGAGAAAGAAAGTAAAAATGAAAGGGAGAAAAGTGGAATGAAAGATTAGAGTGAAAGAAAAAAATAAAGAGAAAGAGAAGTAGGATGAAAAAAAGAAAGAAAGAAAGAAAGAATGTAAGAAAGAAAGAAAAAAAAGAAGAGGAAATGAAAGTAACGAAAAGAGAGAAGAATTTAACAGAAAGAAAGAAAGAGGAAAAAGTTGGCAGAAAAAGAAGAAAGAAAACAATGAACGAAGGAAGAAAGAAATAAAATAAATAAAAAAAGAAACATGACGTAAAAATTAAAATAAAAAAGAAAAAAAGAGAGAGAGAAAGATTGGAAGTGTGAGAGAGAAAAAGAGAGAGAGTGAAAGCGAGAGAGAAAGAGAGATATAAAGTGAGAAAGAAATGGAAAAGTAAGATCGAGAGAAAGGGAAAGAGAGAGAGAGAAAGGGAATGAGAGAGAAAAAGAAATAGAAAGAGAGAGAAATAGAAACGGGAGAGAAAGTGTGAGAAATAGAAAGAGGAAGAGAAAGACAGAAAAGAGAAAGAGAAGGCGAGAGAGAAAGAGAAAGAGAAAAAGAAAGAGAAAGTGAAAAAGAGAGAGAAAGAGAGAGAGAGAAAGGGAAAAGAAAAGAAAAAGTGAGAGAGACAGAGGGAAAGAAAGAGAGAAAGAGAAAGAGAGGGAAAAATGTAAAGGGAGAAAAAGGGAAAGAGAAAAAGAGAGAAAAAGAGAGAGAGGGAGAAAGAGAAAGAGAAAAAGTGAAAGAAGTAGAGAGCGAGTAAGGAAAGAGAGAGAGAA